TATATTATATACATATGTATGCGTAAATATATTATACATTATTGAATAAAAAAACCTATTGATATACATATTTATAAAAATCTTGTATCATTACGGTACAACATTAAGTCCATTGTATAACGTTCAAGTATGACAATAATGTATATTTATATTATAGGATAGAAAAATATGGGCGGATTGGCGCGTATCGCAGACGTAATGATTATAAATACGTCTCGAGGATTCATAAATTCTCGTCGCGCCCGCTCCTGTTTCTCTCGTCGTTCGCATCTCGGGATGATGGCGTTTGATGGCGTTCGCGGGGCGCCGCGTCGCGGCATCCGTACTTGCGAGACGAAGTTGACGTCATCGGCGCGTGCGCGCCGCGTTGGGACGGCACTGCAGAAGCAGGCGAGTTCGCGGATGTATCGATTTTACGATCGTGCCTCTCTCACGGTGCCAGTGCGTCCGTCGTTTCCTTTAGTTTTTTAGTGGACGTGCACGTTGTACATGGATAAAACCGTGAATGGGATTACCCGCTAGACACGTCGCTCCGTACACCGCCCGCTGACTCGCAACTCCTCGTCATCCTTCACCATGACCAAGGATAGATTAGCAGCCCTCGTCGCGGTGAGTGACTACTCTTGCTGGTTCGTCGCTCTTTCTCTCTCTCTCTTTCTCTCCTTTTCTCTCTTTCTCTCTCTCTTTCCCACTCCTTGTACACGATGCCCGAGAGAGCTGCACCGTCGGCATACGTGTGTCGTCGCCGTCGTCGTCGTCGTGCACGCGTGACTCACGCCCTACGACTCGACCGTAAGATAATGTCACTCACTCGGCAACACGGACTCGTCGCGAGTCCAAGCGGTCGCCAAGAATCACCGAGAAGGCATAACCGGTGGATGACAGGCGTTCATCCGCTCGCCCACGCTCGCCTCGGCCCACCTCGATGTTCCGAGCTGACAGGTGTTTTCACTCGGAATGACCATCGGTCATTATATCGCGATACGGATGCTCGTTGTCGCGGAACCACCAAGCCGGTGGGTCCATGGCGACTATGGCCGACCTTGTCATTTATTGGCGACACACCGATGAATGGAGAATATATTCTCATTGCCGTAATCGTGAGATCGGTGTCTGCTCCGACGAAGACCGTCCTCGATGTTGTTTGTCAGGATGACGTCTACGTTCATTCACGCCGCGATCGGTACGGGATACACCAACCTTCCGGAAGTTAACTGGACTTTTTGTAAATGTCGTTATTTTATTAAAATAGTGCCAGAGCGAGCGATCAGCTTTATGAGTTACCACACCTTATTTCATAGAGTTTCACTTTTAAGAGGCTCGTACACACGTTTGTAGTGTCGATAGTTGAATTCATTGAGTCGACGGTCGGTTTAAATCTCCGCTAATCGCGTGCCTGTATCGAGTTTCCCAACGTCTTTCAACGAAAACTGCATTATTCCAATGCAACATGCTCCGAAATGAGGAAACTTTCTTGTATCGGATACCTTCGACAATTATTTATCGTACAATGTAGAACAAGAATGAAAAATTATTTACGGACGAAAAATTCGTGTCTGTTATTTGTCAGCTTCAATAAATTAACGCAACGAATATTCCGAGCTGAAACGAATGTCGCGCTGTATGAAAAGATTAATCATGACTACGCACCGTGCCGTAGTACAATGCAGCGAAATTCGTCACATAAATACGGCGCGATTGCACTTGTCGAATATTCGAGCGCATTGTGCGGAGCCGGCTTCGAAATTCGCCAAGATTCACGCTTTAATTGATAACGGTAACGGTATCATTGTTACGTCAACTTGTCAATGATATCGTTGATGACGTGACGAATACGTTGTTCGCTCCTTCGTGTTTTTCGTGAAAGCACATCGATTGAAT